TCTTCATCCGTCTCATAATGATTATAGTAAGGGTTAATTACTTATTATTATTTTAATATCACATCTTTGTAAAGTTTATTGTTATTTTTTTTAGGTTTCCTTTTCTTGATATGAGAAAGAAATACATGGTTCCAAAATATAGGAATTCAACAAGTGACCATCTGAATAACTTTTTATGCTAATGAACATTTTTATTACAGACCTCAGGGGAAGAAAATATTAAAGAAAAATGCAATTTCGACGAAAGAAGTATAATAATCAATCCTGTCACTACTTCTACAATATATTCATCTGCTACTAACATACTAAAACAGCAAGTAAGTAGAGAAACTTAAGTTTCTTTCAAAAATAATTTTTTAAGGAAAAAGGCATAGCCATTTTTTTGTTCACACTTTTTTTTAACTAATCTAAAAGACTAATTTTGTGTATTGTTTAAATTTTCATTTTTTGTACTTAATTTGTTTTAGGTTTAAACAAAATGAACTTCTAAGATATGCATGGAATATCCCAAAAGAGCTAAGGAAGGATTTAAAATTCTTAAGAAAACTATTCAGAGCCAAAAACATAAAATAGTCTTCCTGTACAAAATACAAATAGGTATAAATATTTAGATATTGTGAGTGATTTTTTATTCTATAAATAGAACATAATTTGCTTCTAAATCACTACCTAATGAACTATATTATATAGTACAAAACTAAACAAGAATATCACATTATTAATGTTTTTTTAATTTCCTTAAAAAACGTCCCCAAAAAATGTGAATATTTATTATCGGAGTTTACATCGTTATGCTAAAACAATACTAGAACAACTTAAATAATGTGGATTTTGACTATTTTGAGTCATGTAGATCATTATGATCTAAAATAGTTATTTATGCAACAAGTGTGTAAAGTTACCCTTTTTTGACGAATGTGAATGTTGTCGCACGAGCCGTAGGGGAGTGCGACAATCACATGAGTCAAAAAAGGGACTTTAGGGACCCCAAAACGCAAAAATCGGTCGAAAACTAGAGGTCGAAAAAAATCATGATTCCTATACTTTCCTTATCCGCAGGGGCGGTTTCTCCATTGGTTCATTTGTGCAGTGAATACCCAGTTAAATTTCATAAAAACACATTATTTTAAAATTACATAAATAACAAAAATATAAATTTAATTTTAATATTTTTATTTTCATACGTGTTAATCTATATTTTTTGGTACATCATTGCCCCCTGGCTGATCGCGTCTCTGTGGCATAGAATACCTAAGTATACTGTGTCTGTGGCGCATTATGATGACTGAGCCTTACACGAGTGAGACGATTTGATGAATGCATAAAGTTAAAAAGAGAAAACAACACGCCAACATATCCTTCAAACGTCAAAAGAACTCATTAATTGGCGCGCCGCTCACAAACAAGGTTGCCAAACCAATGTTGCCAGTCAATTGTGAATTGTACTAGATGTAGTACATTTTGCTTGAGGCAGTGTTCACGTGTAAAATATATATATAAATATATTGTGTTCCTTGTTTGGGTTCGTTATCTATAAAAACCCCCTTTTTTCCTCTTCAATAAATTAGATGTAACTGCAAATAGAATTGGAAAAATCTGGTACATAACAAAAACATATTTTGGCAACACTGTACCAAATCAAACATACTGTCATTCCGTCTACCTGGGGATCGGTTATATCGTGCGAATTTAGAGATGAATAGTAATCCGTAAATGTACCTACTTAACACTTACAGATTTGCTAATATCCATCTCTAAATTCTAGTGTGACACCGGAACCACTTGGAACTTTAAAGACGTTGTAACCGAACTTTGATTTTAGTTCAAGGACGACTTACCCAACTCCGACTCAGCTGAGTTCTGTTTATAAATATGGACCTGAATATATTTGTATCCTTGTTTATCGATATATAAAAGAAGTAAGTGAGAATACACTCAGTGAGACACCAGATCCCTTTACAAATTATACTTTTTATGGATTTTTGTGTTCCGTGAACCGAATTTTGGTTGTTTTGAGGTTGGCTGTACTGGTCCTAGGTTCTGTGTGAATTTACTAGTGTTTATTTACGATCGTATTTGGTGAAATTTATAAAAATAAATAGACATAATTTCGAGAATCGATTGCTTATAAAAAAGAATGGCCCACCTCGATCGAAGATAAACATTGTTCAAGAATATGCCATAAGAAATAGAAAGTTGAAACTTACTTTTAAGATTGAACAATATAAAAAAAACTTCGTGGTTGTGCGGGTGTGATAAACATGCTTTGTTTTGTTTTCCTTGTTTAGTTTTTGCAAACAATGAAAATACTAAATCTTAATGGACAAAAACGGGTGTTAGTGATTTCTCTCATTTATCAGCAAAAATTAAAAAACACTTTTATTATTATTATTATTATTATTATTATTATTATTATTATTATTATTATTATTATTATTATTATTATTATTATTATTATTATTATTATTATTATTATTATTATTATTATTATTAATTATTATTATTATTATTATTATTATTATTATTATTATTATTATTATTATTATTATTAATATTATTATTATTATTAATTATTATTATTATTATTATTATTAATATTTAACTACTGAACTACCCAATGAATCGAGCAAAAACCTGACACTGATTATATTAGGTATGCATGTTTTTGTATTATTTCTATAATTTAAACTTGATGTTTCTTACTTGCACTGTATTAATCGAGGAATTAATATTTTAAATTATAACGAGCCACCACTACCTTTAATTAAAAAAATCTAATTAAATATGGGGGATTTAAGGGGGATTGAAATTAAAATCAAAAATGAAAAGCGATATCAACATTTTTAGTAAAAATCAAGCCCTAAAATGAGATGAGGCCTATTGATTGTGAAAACAATCTGGTAGAAAATGGGAGTCTGTTAAACTGCGAAAAGTATCATTTAGAATGCCAGACATTATATATCTTTATTCTAGTTTATATTTGTGTAATAGTATGTATTGTGATGGGACTGATCTAATAAAATAAACATTTAAAACGTTTTAGTTCTTATTTTATTTAAAAGTTATTATTTTAAAAGGTATTTAAAAAATATATTTTTTATTTGACATGTGTGACAAAATGTGAAAATGATTAAATTTACAATAAAAACCGAAAAATGGTAGGTAAAGTTTCATATAATATTTTTTACATAAAAATCAATGTCAAGCTTTCTACGTAACCTTATATATATTTAAAAATAATCTCAAATTATGAAGAAAAGTCAGTTAACTAATAATGTTTATAGGTGGTTTTCAATGTATTAAAAACAAAACAAATATCACACTAACTAAAATATTCATTTATTAATAGTTATAGTGCTTGAAAATAGTATGATGTTGATAATACTACATTTAATACAAACTCAAATATTAATAAAAACAGCGATAATGGCTCTTGTACAAAGTTTTGGGCCGAACTTACAAAAATGATCAAATTATTGGAAAAAATGAACACCTATTTCAAATTACCACGAGCCGCCACTGCTTATCTGTATACAGATAGGAAAGTAAAAATGAACTAGAAAGAACTTCGGCTATATAGAGAAGCACCTCATGTCAAATCTGATATGTCTGTGGTGCCTATTAAAATTCTATTTGACGGATTAAAGGCATTTTATTATGAAATGAGATATATGTACTCTATAAATATTGAAGTTCCCTAAGGATCTTTTGGGTTTCATTTTGATTCTTTCATAAATTATTAATTAATTAATTAAAAGCTAATCAGTGATTCTCTTCAAACATATTCCAATTAAATGATTAAGAAACCACACAATTTTTTTTACACTTCTAAGAACACTACTTCTCAAGGTCCATGTCTCATAAATCAAACAATAATACCAGGAATAATAAATAAGTTTTGAACCTAACTAGTAATAATTTCCTGAGATAAGAGAAACAAGTGGTAGTAGATAGTTATTAAAAAAAAAAATAATTTTAACAGTTCTATAAATAATATAATAAATAAATATTGAAAAGAAATCAAACCATCACAATACAGTGAATAAGTATTTGAATTAATTACATACGTAATTTATTTATTTAAAACCTATATAGTTTGGAAAATAAAAATCTTAAATTAAACAAAATCCAAGAAAAGTTGGACTTCGGACGGTTGGAAAATTATGTCTATCTAGATGTTTGTATTGATATAGAAATTTCTGGAGGGTGAAGGATTAAGTCAAAATTATCCAAGAGCCATATCGGGATGGATTAATTATGGATTGTCAGCTAAAAAACAAGAAGTGCCAGGAGTTTATAGTTTATGAAATTGTATGGATTTTGTTAATTATCTGGTTGGAATTTGTTATTGCTGAAAGGAAATAAATAAAGAAAAAATATAAAACAAAGGTAACAGAAATTTTAATTAAACATAAAAGTAATAAACCACAATATACGACGTAAATATAGAGGGAGATTAAAAACAATAGATAGATAGATAGATAGATAGATAGATAGATAGATAGATAGATAGATAGAGGAAGAAGACAAGAAAGAAGTTATTGTGTTTTATTATTTAAATTATTATAACATTTTATAATATCGGTGAATCCAATCCGAAATGAGAATAAAATTTTTGGTTGGAAATTATATTCCATAAGGAGGTTCCCAAAATTTGGGAACCTCCTATCAGTGCGAAAACGGCCTAACCCACAAATTTAGGATTTTGTGATATTCGGCCTAACTCGTTCCCCACGCATATAAGTATACAATGCAAAACAGCCTATGCCACCTTCTGCTATTGTTCAAAAGATAACGCTAGTATTTTACTTTTTTTTTCAATAATTTTGTCAATTTAAGAAGCGCATAATCGGCCTAATCCACAGTTCTGTAGATTAGGCCGTTCTTGCGCAATCAGTTTCTTGTATTGACATTACGAAGCTTTAAAAGTTTTGTTGTGTTGTGAGAGAAAGACCTGAATTGAAAGCAATAACTGTGTGTGAGTTAAAAGAGAGAAGAAAATGAGTACTTCACCGCACGTTAACGGTAAGAAATTTAGTCATTTAGTACTAATTCTGCATATAAAATATTACGAATTTTTTGAGGTTATGTTTTTTCACTTTCAGACCCGTATGAGGACGACCCATTTGGCGATTCTGGCTCCGAATATATGCCTAGTAATCCAAGTGGCTCAGAAAATAAAAGCGAAAGGGACGAGGCTACTATAAATACAACAGTGAGAACAAGAAAACGCACCAGGAATGAGCAAATGTGGCCGAGAAATATTATGAAAGCGAAGCGAATAAAAGGTGAAGAATATAGGAATTTCAAAGGTAGGGTAGTACCGCCTTAGTTGTCTGAAGAAATAGTGTGCCCCTGTTCTAATCAGTGCCACGTGAAGATAAATGCTGAAAGACAAAAAACCCTACTCGAAAACTTTTATGGACTTGAAACTCATGATTTACAAACCTTTTACTTACATTTTCGGCTTAGTCGAAGTTGTAAATAAATTAAGGTGTTACAAAAAAAACGCAAATCCTTCAAGACGTTCGAATACGCGATTGTACTACTTAACTAATGAAAACGGAGAAAAAGTAAAGATCTGCAAGGAGTTCTGCAAAAAGGTATTTAAAGTTTCAGATGGTAGAATAAGTAGAATTATGTTGAGTAAAGCCTCTGGTATGATCCCTGCTGTAGATAAACGGGGAAAACATGTCCCCAGTAATAAAACAAGCGAGGACAAAATACTGGATATCAAAAATTTTAACAGATTCCTCGCGTATCAGTCACATTATTGAAAAACTGAAAAACCACCATAGAAAGTACCTGTCGCCTGATCTTAGTTTAGGGAGAATGTATAGCCTTTACAAAGATCAAACCCCTGAGCCAGTCTCATATTTTGTTTTCGCCAACGTTTTTAATAAACAGTTAAATTTACATTTTCATGCTCCTGTGTCAGATTCATGTAGAAAGTCTGATTTTCTTAACGTAAAAATCGAAGCCTCAATCGATGAAGCTGCAAAACAGCAAAGTATTACTGAGCAAGAGCTACATCTTCGTAAGGCTGAATCAGCAAGGGAAGGAATGAAAGCAGATGCGAGGTGGGCTAAAAACGACAAAAATATCACTGTTATTAGTTTTGATCTAATGAAGACATTAGCAACTCCAGTTTTGTCAACAGGTATTGCTTATTATAAGCGACAACTGTGGACATTTTGTCTGGGTATTCATAACCTGGCAAAAAACGAAGCATTTATGTATGTACGGAACGAATCAAAAGCTTCACGAGGTCCTGATGAGATAGGCTCGTGCCTCCTACATTTTGTGAAAAATTACGTTGTCTCGAAAAAACTCATACTCTACTCAGACCAGTGCGGGGGCCAAAACCGGAATATCAAGATCGCGCTGCTCTGTAATTATATTGTAAATTTCGGTAATTTCCCAGTAGATGAGATTGATCAAAAATTTCGCAGCACGCTGCAGGGTGCTGCGTAACAGTATTATAGGTCTAATGATGTTTAGTTAGATGAAACTAGTTGCAGAGCGTTACGTTTTTTAATAAACAATTGTATGTGATATTAATTTGGAGTTTTCTTTATTTTTTGCCACATTTAAGAGTATTTTTAATTCTTTCATATTTAATAACTAGCAAAAGATCAACGGATCAGTGTCTGGATAAAAAACTAGCAGAAGATTACCATAAAGTGGACACTCGTATTTGCCTTGTGATCAAGGCTTCCGGCTCATCGAGAAACAAAAAAAAAATCTACAAAGATATTTACATTCCGGAATATTGGTGTAATGTCATCAGATCTGCCAGAAAAAAGGACCCTTTCAAACTAATTTTCATGACAAGCCAAGATTTTTTTTCTACTGCATCCCTTCAGGCCCAAATCACCAATAGAAAAAAATCTATAAATGACGAAAAGGTAGAGTGGCTCAAAATGCAATGGCTAAAATTTAAAAAGGATGAATTATTTCTCATACATTTTAAATATTACAATAATTATTTGGTTCCCTTCACAACCGTGAAGATTGCAAAAATGAATGCTGCGACATCTTCAGTTAATATTAATTTGCAACTGCTGTATCTGAACGGGCATAAGGTAGACATTAAAAAAAAGAAGGACTTATTGACACTTTCCGACTTCATCCCATCCATTTAACAACACTTTTATAAAAATTTGAAAACAATGGATGACCAATCTGAAGATTTCATCGAAAGGGAGGAAGTCGATGAATAATTAGGTACAAAGACATTTTTGAAACTAGTTTCTAGTAAGTTTGTATTTTGATGAAATATACTTTCTGTTTTTACGAAATATTTGCCCAAAACAAGTTTTTTTGTACCCTGGCCTATAAATTTTACAAAATTTTATAAAAAGCAAATCGGCCTAACCCACTATTTTTTTCTTAAATATAACCATTTTGCAATATTTCTGGTACGGCATTTTTAGTATAGCTACTATTAAAAAAAAAATGAAACAAAAATATATCGATTAAAGTGTTTTCGGATAGGAATAAAAAAGACAGTATTTCTCAAAAAATTTCATTTCACGTTTTCTCAAAACTATCCTTCTAGGGTTTCGCACTGGTAGCCTCTATCAGTATATTTACTGTTTACAATTTATTTTCTTCTAATGGTATTGTAAGTATGAAAATGTTCTATACATATTGTAACCTGCCACTACTTTGGATTTTTGTATTGTTACACTGGTTTTTGGTATTTCAATTTATTTCAACTCAACTTTTACAACTGTACAACTGATAATATTAACGTATAACGTCTATCATAAAACTGACTGATACAGTGACGTCAGGATCATTGACTTGTAGTTTGCCTTAACTTTCTGGAACTGTCTAGAATTTTCTTGATGTGGAATGACATTTCTTAAACATTTTACCATCTTCTGTTACTCGAACCTTTACTTATGACGACTGCAGCACGCTGCAGGGTGCTGAGTAACATTGCTCTCTTCTCTCTAGTTATTTGCTCCAAATAACTTCATTACTGGGACCTGGTTAGAGCTAACGGGGAGGATCTGGACCAAGGCATGGCGCTAACTTTTCAACCTTGGATTTACTTCTCAGTGATAGCTAAATGCGGTGTCCCTGTGACACTTCTGTCGATTCTAGCTTCTGCTTTATTGCTGTTGGCTTTCAGTCGTTCCCGAGCAAATCCATAGACCTTTGTTCTGCCATTGTATACATCACCAAACCAATCCGCTATATCCCGTCGGCAATTGACCCAATAAAAATCTTTCCCGAACTTGTACTAGTGTACTTTTAGTACCGGAATGTTCTCCCGAACGGCTGCTATGAAGCTCCTCCAACACACTTCTGACATGTGATTTCGGCCGTATCACTTGGCAGGCTACATATATTCCAATGGGGGCTCTCTTAGTTCCGGTGCAATAGGCCATCGTGAAGATACAGGGAATCCCACTGAGTACAGTGGAGTTATACTGTATTTGACTGTCTTTTGCCAAGTAGGTGTGACTTTGTTTTTGAGCCATTCTCAGATAACCAAGTCATCTTCGTCGTCTTCTGCCTCTTTGAAGGGTGATTTCTTCTTCGTCGCCCTCTAGCCTGGTAGTGGTTACCCAAAGAGTAACTTTATTAACCGGTTCCTCTCGTTTTCCAAGTCCTTTACTGTACCGGTGTTCTTGTTCTAAACAGGGTTGCCTGGAGAAAATGCGTTGCTATGGAAATGGCCTCAACGATGCTCTACTTCCTGGTTATTGTTACAAAGCCGGCTAGGTGTGGGTAGATCGGCTTCTTCGGGACGCATAACTGCTGTAATTATTTTTTGTTGGACTTTGCGGTGTGCTTCGTGAGATTGATCTATGTGACTTTTTGATTTCATTCTCTGATTCTTGATTTATAGAAGGAGCCCTGCTCCTGCAAATATTTTGATGGTGCCGGATTCTTCCACAACTGAAGCATCTCCTGCTTATATTTTGGCTCTTTCGTTACATATTTTGCAGGATATTTAAGATTTGTAAGAGAGTAGGTTGATATTACTATTGGCCTCGTCACTTTCCTGGGATTTAATTCTCTCACTCTTGCGCGAGAATATCTGAAAAGGAGTTTTTTACCGCTTCATATTCCTGGGCTGCAATCAGTTTCTTCCTCAGCATCTTGTGATGTTGTAGACGAAGGGCTAACTGCATTTCCTGTAGCAGAATATAAATCAATAACATCTATATCTTCTATAACAATTGAACATTTAAACATAACCACATTCTGCTTCAATAAAAGTTTAATCTTCTGGTGAGTGTCTTCGAGTCTTGATGGCAATAGGTTTGCAATTAGGAGTCAGATAGGAGAATAAGTTTTGAGGTTCAATGTTAGCAGCTGATAGTGCACATATTTTAAGTGTCGGCCAGGGTCCTTTGAAGTTTAGTTGTACTTGCGAATGATTCTTTAGAATATCATGCGTTATGATAACATCTGCACATAAACCATTCAGTACCCACAAATCGGCTTGATAACTGTTTTGCAATAATTTTATATTAACTTTACAAATTCCAACAACCTTTGATTTTAAAAATGATGTAGCCATCGTTACTTCTTGTTGAGAGGCTTCATGTGAAAACGGTATTGTTGAACAAGTCGGTCTTCTATGAAGCTACTTGTACTTCCAGAGCTTTTGCAGCGTGTCCATTGATTAAAATTGGTACAATAGTTTCTACTAAACCCAAAGCAGCAGAAAGTATACATGACAACATTTCAAGTTCTCTTTCAGGTTGTTCTCCTTTGGTCACTACATATTGTATTAAAGGCTGGGCATTTTTTGCGAACGTGCAGTTTGTTACCGCAAAAGTAGCAAGAATCTTTCGATGCATTTAAATTGTTTGATCAAAAGGCGTTTGATTCACTTGTGAAGGCGCTGTTGTGAACTCTTGCAAATTATAGTGCTCTGGCTTGTTGGTGCGCTTCATCAAGCTGGATGGAACTGCTTTTTAGAAGTCTCTGTCCTATGGAGCTCGATGTCAAACCAGCAATAAATGCATCTTCTTATACAGTCTTGTTCATTTTGTTCGACAAATACTGCTTTGAACCCACATTCCCTAGCCAAAAGTCATAATGATTGTATGAATTGGTCAATCGTTCACCAGACAGCTGTTCACGCTTGGCCAGTTGATGGCGTGCATATGTTTCATTCTTTGGCTTTTATAAAAATAGCGTCTACTCTCGAAATAGCTGAATTATATGTCTCGACATCTTTTATATGATTAAAAATAGTTGCATAAAGGTAATTTACCAGGAGATGATACTTAGTTGCATCTAACAGAGGTTCAGGTTGCTGGTTTTCCCCAGTGGAGCCAGTTGACGAGGCTTTAAGGAAATTTTTGAAAGTTGTCTTCCAGTTTATCCATTCAGAAGTTGTGGCGGAGTTAGTGTTTGATACAATACCGATATCAAACCTCTCAGGACGCAGATACCTTTCTATATTTTAATTTGGTTGAATAAATGGTAGTAAAATTGAGGTTTAACCCGAAAATATAAGGCTTTATTCAACTAAATTGACAGTGTCATATAAATCAATAACATCTATAACAATTGAACAGTTAAACATAATAAAGGTCGATTCACCACATTTCCATCAATGAATGTCTGTATTCCGATTTGTTCTTGGAAATCTTTGGAACCTGTGGATAAGCCAGATGAATCAATCTTCTTATATCGGCCTCGAATTCCTGTGGACTCTCTTCATGTTTCTGACTATGAACCTTTAGCTGGCTTTGAAATACTTGTTTCAACTGCTGCTGGCCATATCTTGTTACCAAAGCTTGGACGAGAGATGAATAACTGGGTTCTTCTTGCTGGGTTACTGCCTGTCCTCGCAGCGATACTGTCAATGAAGCCGCCATCTCTTTTTCGGCCCAGTCATGGGCTCTAACTGCATCTTCAATTTGGAGTCGATACGTTTCTCATGTTGTCTGACCGTCAAACGTAGGTGGCTCAATGGTCTTGCTAGTACGGCTTTGTGAAACTGGATTTAAGATATAGCTTGGTTTGGTTATAGATAAGGACGAGGTAGTGTTTGCAGTTGATGTTGCTTACCAAAGCTAGGCTACTAATTCTTTTTTCCAACTCAACTAGTTTAGTTTTAATTTGCCTTTCTAACTCTACTCTAGCCGTTTCTTGTTGTTTTAAATTAGTTTTAAAATTTTCTTGTTGTTGTGCTAAGAGACTGTTCAGCTGACCTACCTCGTGTCTGCCATTTATAATCTCCTCTTCTCGCTTTTCCCCCTTCTCTTCATATTCCTTTCTACGCCTTTCCTTTTTCTCCTCTTCTTCCTTCCTACGCCTTTTCTTTTTCTCTTTTCGCCTTATTCTCTTCTATTCCATCTTTAAAAACCATGCTGGTGGGCCTTAAGTATCCATCTCCGTTTCGTGCACAGTGTATCTAGTATTTACCATGAATATTATGAATGTTAGAAACACTTGAAATAAATAGATTTAAAAATTCAGATAACTTACTAAATGATCAATTAGATATTAATAATTCACCCTTATTAAATCTCTTTCCCAGTTTTCTGTGAGATAATCCCGGTAATGGGCTATCTTATTGTTATCTGATGGATATTATAATTACCTAAGTACCCTTATTTACTTTAAATAGTTAGTTTATTTTGTAATGTTATTGATGTTTTCTTAAGTACTTTGTTTTGTTAAATTATTTCGTATATATATTGGATACCGAATTGTAAATAGTCACATTTGAAAAAGAAGTTGTACTTCGAAACATATGTCATGTTAGTGTTTTTTTTTTTTTATTTTTATTTTTAAAATAAAAGTGTGAAAATCTACCAAATTTGGTTTTCTTTCAAAAAAAAAAAAAATATCCCGAACTACTTCATCAACTAATGTTTAATGTTCCTAGTATCAGAACTCGCTCCCCTTTTTATTTCTATTTTCAGACACCCAGGACAAATATTTTAAAATTTTCTTCAATGTATTTTATGTATCAAAATTTTTGTGAACTTCAAAATGATATTGATTTATTTTCTATTTCAATTAAAGAAATAAAACGCTTAATTGTGGACTGAGTTAATTATCATAAGACAGCGTAATTTTTTCTCCTAACGGAGTTTTTTTTGCGTTTTCTTATGATGGTTAAAAACGTTTATTAAACTATTTTTTGTTTACATATATT